CACTCCCTCCCCCACTCCCTCCCCCACTCCCTCCTTCTTGGCCATGCCGCTCTCCACCCACGTCGTCCCGTCCGCTGCTGCAGTCCCCATCGCTGCGCGACAACGCACAGTCCCCTCCGCGAATCAGCCCGCCCCGCCCCTCCCCGTCCACTACACCCCCACCAGACTGCTAGCCGGTGCAGAGCTAGACGCTTTCCGAAAGTTTGCCCTCGTTCCGATTGAACAGCTCACTGACCATGACATTAAGGAGTGCCCCATCCCCAGACTCAAGGCATACATCTCCATTTACCGTACGCACATTCCCTAGCCCAACCCCATCCCACCCCCCACTTTTTACGACCATTCACTGACCCCAGTGCCATTCCGCCTTCACTTTCACAGGGGCCAGAATAACAAACATGCGTCCACCGCGCATCCGCCGCGACTTCGATCGCTTCTTCCTCGCCTGGTTCCGCCACATGTGCGACCGGGGTGAAATCCAGCCCCGCCGTACCTTACCCATCTACCTCCCCCAAGTGGCACCCACTGCAGATGCCCTGCAACCAGCACGGCCCCACTGCGCCATCAAGCCTCACTCCCCCTTCTCCGCCCACACAGACCCCGGCTTTCTCAAGCTTCCTCCCCTCAAGCGCCGCGCTCTTTCCAAATACTACCATCCGTCCTCCCCCTCTCCGCGAGGCCCGCGCGCCTGGTATACGGCTTTCGATCAGCCCGCCTCTAACTCTGCCTCTGCTGACCACGACACTCGCTTTTCAAGACCTATTCACGAGGCCGTAGCAGCTTTACTTCAGCAGTATGGCATGTACGGTCGTGCATGGGATAGGCTCGGACATGAAACTATATTCCGCGCTTGTGACTATCTTTCCTCGTTCGATACTGCTGCCGACCATTCGGGGCTCGCCAGTGAAGGCGTCATTCTCTTTCTTGAGGAACTTTCTGATCTCACCCTCGCCCCGCTCAGCAGGCTCATGCAGGAGAGGGACCCGTCTTCCGTTTCTGACACCCTTGTCACTATGCCACTAGTCGGCAACGGCGTATGTTCCCAACTCATGCAGGGAGACAGATCGGGTATTCGACGAATTTAGGTCATATGCAGCACGGCTCCATCAGTCTTTGCACTGTTCGCCTTCCATGTCGAGATGAACCGTCTGTGCTTCGTATGTGCATGGTACAAATGGAGAGAACATCATCCAGCTAGAGATGCATCTGGTGTATTCACTCACCGTGTTTCGATCCTGTATTGACGGCTACGAGCACGGCTAGATCGAGGACATGGCGCAGTCTCGTGAGATATCGAATTCGTTGTCATCTTGAATTCGGCTACGTATCACCCGTGCGTACTGTACAGTACCGTATGATGATAATCAAATCGCTAGAGCACCACTTCCGGGTATTGATCGCGTTTGGTCCATGTCCAAAGGCGGAACGCATACAATTTCGCCCATGGCATCTGTGCATGGGAGAGCTTCTGTTGATCTGTCCTCAGCAACTGTGAACCATTTGGTTAGATAGGCTACAGAAAATGCTGCTTTATTATCCCGGAAAGGCTTTGCCACGCATCGCAACGGATCCTCGTCACTGCTACAAGACCTGATCAAGCAAAACAATGGAATCATACCGTAGCTTCAACAGAACTTGCTCTGTCTATATCTTTCTTGGTATAGCAAGTAGCGCTTTGCTCGAATGGTGTAGCTATCGCCTTGGGCTACAGACTCCAGACCAATGAAAACACTAACTTTGTAACAGAACACCTGTAGAAATCGTCTTACAGTACAAGTTTACAACAACTCTCGAGGAAAACATTGCACTTTTGCGGTGCGACGACAGTTTCATGCGTCTGTCAATGCGGCCACGCCGGGTAGAGTCTTTCCTTCGAGCAGTTCGAGGCTCGCACCACCGCCCGTGGAAACGTGAGACACAGAATCCGCTGCACCCATCTCTTTTACTGCAGTGGCCGTGTCACCTCCACCAATGATCGTCACAGCTCCAGATGAAGTAGCTTCCACGACAGCATCGACCACGGCCTTTGTTCCTTTTGCAAACGCTTCAAACTCAAACACGCCGACAGGACCGTTCCACACGACTGTCTTCGCCCGCAACACGACCTCGCGCATTGCCTCTTGGCTCTTCGGACCTGCATCGAGACCCATCCATTCATCCGGAATGCCCTCTGAGTCCGTCGCAACTCTTGTGTTAGCCACTGGGGCAAACTTGTCAGCAATCGTGAAGTCGACGGGGAAATGAAGCTTGACATTCTTCGCCTTAGCTTTGTCCACAATTTCCTGCGCGATCTTTGCACCGGCTTCGTCGAAAAGCGACTGTCCAATGGCCATTCCCTCGACGGCTTTCTTGAATGTGAATGCCATACCTCCTCCAATGATCATCTCATCGACCTTATCAAGTAAGTTCTCAATGAGTTGGATCTTATCGGACACCTTGGATCCTCCTAAAATGCTAAGAAACGGGCGTTGGGGTTCCTGCAGGGCCTTTCCAAAATACTCAAGCTCCTTCTTCATGAGAAAGCCAGAGGCCTTTTGTGGGAGATCCACGCCGACCATGGACGAGTGAGCGCGGTGAGCAGTGCCAAAGGCGTCGTTAACGTAAACATCAGCCAAAGTGCTGAGACTCTTCCGAAACTCCGTCACCTTAGCAGCATCAGCCTTGATCTTGTTGCCATCAGCATCAACGCCCTTGCCCTCCTCCTCGATGTGGAAGCGCAAATTCTCGAGCAAGAAGACGGATCCGGTCTCGGGGTCCTTGCAAGCCTCCTCAGTAGCGGAGCCGACGGCATCTTCGAGGAAGGTGACCGTCTTGCCGATCTTCTCCGAGACGACGTCTGCCACGGGCTTGAGCGAGAACTTGGGGTTAACACGGCCGGACGGGCGTCCGAGATGCGAAGCGAGGACGACGGACTTGGCGCCCTTTTCCAGAGCGTATTTGATGGTGGGGAGGGCGGCGTCGATACGCTGGGTGTTGGTGATGGTCTTGCCGGTCTCCTTGTCGAAGGGGACGTTGAAGTCGACACGGATGAAGACGCGCTTGCCAGCGAGATCGAGAGCGTCGATACAGAGCTTGGAGAAAGACATGGTAGTGGGAATTTGAGCTGCGAGTTGGAAAAGAATGGGTGGGTCAATGGCGATGTAGGTTAGTACCTAGGCTGGAAGGGCTAACCTCGACTATTAAAAAGGACTGGTTTTAGATTCGTCTGATAGGGTTGGCTGCGGTGTTTGGACTTGTACGAGATGGTTTTGATGTGATCCAATGGGATGGTCAGATTTTTCGGTTGGCTGCTAGCCCAATGGACTTGCGAAGAGAAACTAATCAACCAATAGTACATCGCAGAACAAAAATGATTCTGCAGTGACGACAATTGAGTAAATAGAGATTTAGAGGATCTCTACCCGGTGACGGTATTCGATTCTCTAATCAAAAATTTCCGGCCAAGTGCTTAATTTTTATTGGGTACTTCTATTGCTCTAATTCTCAATAGATTTACCAGAATACTGTAGAATCGCAGCGCAACTCTACCGCGGAGCCCACATCCGGTCAGTACCGCTGCACTCATCCCGTTCAACGCTTTAGAGCAACCCCACCGGGCACATCTATTTGATCAATAGAATTTCCGCTCACAATTTTCAACCCCACCGCGCAATTCTATCGCTTTCCGAAATCGAATAGAACAATTTTGGGATCTATCCGAGCGCCGATAGATTCTAAAAACGTTCTATCCGGTGAATAGATTCCGCGATAGAATGCCACGTGCCAGGCGTGTCAGCCGAATTCTGGCCAATTGTGCATCCTTCTCACCCGAGAACCTCCGCTGCTTCGTCGCTGCAGCATGCATTCCGGTGGCGCGTGACCTGTGCATGCTCGCGACGATGCTTTCATCATCGCCATCGCTGTCGTCCATATACTGTACTGAAGGACGCTTCCGAGGACTGTTCTCCGGTCCATTGGCGATGATAACTCGTGAGAGCGCGTAGTTGGACAATACCCGAGAGAGGGCGCGCGACGAAGAGGGAAAGAGGGCACAGGCTGCGGAAGAGAGACATGCAGCCGCGCGGGATTCACGGCGAGGGGTGGGCGTCTCGATGAACGATCGCCTCTTCGCAGACGATGTGTGACGTCTCGCCGTTGTCTGCGCGGGCATATAGCGATAGATTTGCAACATATGCGTTGGGGTTGACGCGAATAGATTCCACACGAATAGATTGACGAATAGGCACAAAATTCAATTCGGGCAACCGGCGAATGGTCAGCGTACACGTTGTATTTCTATCCGGCAATAGAATCGACGCGGTGGGGATGCTCTTACAATGGCAACTTCGCAGCCCTGCGGGAAGCCGGAACTGGGTGCTGCCCGGGATCTTTCTCGATAAAGCGGCGGCGGATAGTGTCTTGGAAGATTTTTCCTGCCTGGTCGGTGCGGAGATCGGATCTTCGACGCTGCGATCCATGCAAGGGCGAGAACGCAATTCTTCTCGGCATCTCAGTTCTTTCCGCGCCCCATAGCTGGCAGAGTAGAGTGAGTGCACGGGAGAGCGGAAAGTACGTTGCGCGACGATGCGATGTAACAGCTGCAATTGCACTTCAATGCAAACCGCCAGCAGCGCTAGCGGTTTGCATTGAAGTGCAATTTGCGGGGCACCCACATCTGCCAAGCGCAGCTACCCCACTAGCCAATCCGGGGGGCCGTCCTGTCACCTCTATTCGATATATTAGAGCGCGATTTGGGTTTAATGAGGGGTCGAATAGACCCAGATCGTGCTCTAATCTATTGGGAAATTTTTTCGAATAGATTAGAAAACGTGCAATAGAGTATGGTTTTTTCTTTGCGGCTGAAAATTTGTCATTAGAATAGAGAATAGACCCGCGGTAGAGATGCTCTTAGTGCTACTTGTGAATCCGAATCCCTCCCGGTTCACCCTGCAGGAGGAGCAGGTAACTAGAATAATAGCCGTTGTAGTCTAGTTGCTACGCGAAGGCCGCCTTACAGCACCTATGCCCCTGTCAATTGAGTCAGGATTCCTATGAATCCTCCCTCCATTATCTACTTCCTAGCCCTCTTCCTGAACAACGCATGTCGCAACACCTGCTGACTCTTCGGAAGCGGCATCGACTTAGGCCGGTCACGTTCATACTCGGCATATCTCATCCCCCTAGCCCCTGTCAACGATGACAACGACGACGGTCTCCTCCTCATTACGTCCATCCGTCCAAGACCGCCACCCGGCCCGTTACCTGCCAACGCCCGCTCTTCATCATCCACGTCTAGGTGTTCCGTCGCATCAGCCTCATTCGCCGATAGCACCGCTGCAAGCAAGTCCAGTTGTTCTTCCTTAGTCTCGAAATCCAGCTTGGCCTTGTCCATCCCTTCAAGATGTGTGATCACCTTGAACGCATAACCTTGGTCAATCAAGAATTGTTGCCGTTTGGAAGAGTAGAACATCTCCTGAGTATCCGTTGACACGAGCGAGTAGAAAAATGCGTTGAAGTTTTGCCCGGCACGCGGTTTCGGTCGTAGGATACGTCCGAGACGCTGCGCCTCCTGTCGGCGAGACCCATAATGTGAGCTCACTTGAATCAGGACGTTCGCCTCCGGGATATCGATAGATGTATCACCAACTTTCGACAATAGAATCGTCCCTAGCTCGGGGTTGTGCTGAAAGTTGGCAAGGATTCGTAGTCTCTCAGTCTGTGTCGTTGGTCCGTATATGTATGGCCTACAAAGTCTTCTGGCGTACATTTGGAGCGCATACACGTTATCTGCAAAAATGATCACTTTGTCCCCTCGATCTTCATGAAACTTGACGAGGAATTGACACATACGGAACTTGTTCGGGTTCATTGCATAAAGAAGCTTTCTTCTTGCTGGCGTCGATGACAGATACTCACGATAAAACTCCTTCGTCATCGGACACCATACCTCCGCGCATTGAACAGTCGCAAGGTAGTTTTCTCGTTGCAGGTCGAGCCAGTTTGCCTCGTATAGCTTCGGTCCAATGAGGAAGTTGATATCTCCGATCTTCTCATCTTCACGAAGCAGCGTTGCCGTCAGTCCTAACTTACAATGCGCTTTGATAACACCAATGACCCGACGAAATACGTTTGCTGGCACCACATGCACCTCATCAAGGAGCAAAAGGCCCCATTCCTTCGATTTCAATTCATTCAGCATTCTTTCAGACTCCGCTGCTCGCCGCCCGCTATGTGAAATCATCGAATATGTTGTTACTGTCACGCCGCCGTAGAAGCTCTTATCTTTTGGACCGCCGCCCGACGCCACGAAACGCCCAACATGGTCCCGCGGCATCGTGCTCCACGTCGCAAACTGGTATCGCCATTGTTCCACAGACACAGAACTGGTGCATAAGCACAAGACAGGCTTTTTGATCGTGCATGCCGCCGTTACACCAACAAGACTTTTTCCAGCCCCGCAAGGCAACACAATTACACCCGATCGTGCTCTGCCGTTTCCAAACATTTTCTCTAGGCTCTTCTCTTGGTAGGGGCGAATCTTCGCGATTGGTTTCAAGTCAAGATCTATGCTCCGATTCGTCGAATCATTCCTGAAATCGTATTCTTCCATAAGTGGATAGTCCAGTTCAATCGCACGACGCTTGACGTGTTCCACCATCTCAGGACGCACCTCAAATTCAAATGCCTTCTTCTTGGCGCTACCAACCAAGTAATCTTCTTCATCTTCGTCATCTTCATCATCTAGGGCCTTCGCAAGTGCAGCTAGAGTAGCTGCATCGCTCACCGCTTCTTCACGACCAGCGATAACAATGCCTTGCTCTTCCGTTTCTACCTCTTTGCTTTCGGCACCGATCGCGCTCTCCGGCATTCGAGATGAAGAAATTTCTGGATCCGCAGCAAAAATCCGCAGTACCTTCTCATCTAATGTCTGCACGAGGTACTTTCCCTTCTTCAGTACCAGCTTAGTCTTCCCATATGTTTTTGTGCAATCTCGAATAAATTTCGGAACTTCCTTTGGCAACGCCGTCTTGCAAAGCTTCCCCAACGCACGAATAATGCTTTCGCTATCTAAACCAACGCTTACCGCCGCATAAAGCGCATACGGCGTAAGCCGATATTCGTGAAGCTGCTCGGGGCGCGACACTGGTTCTGCAATAGCCACAAGAAAATCGTACGCCTGCTTATAAATCGGGGAGAAAGTCTCCAAGAAGATACGCATATCTCCCGATACATATACTGGGCGGGACTGATGATCCGGTCGCAGCGGTAGTTGACTAAAGTCCCTAATCTCTGCGTCATCGTCATCCGCTTCCTCAACGTCAAGGTTGAACGTGGCCTCCCTCGCGGCACGCGGAATTGGCACCATGTCGTCCTCGTCTCTGACGTCTTCTTTAGGGCGCTTCTCCTTATCCGGTCTATACTCAGAATCGCCGGAGTCAGAGTCGCCTTCGCGACGACGTTTCTTTCGTCGCCTTCGGCGCTCCCTGTTCTCACGCTTGTCCTCCTTGCGTCTCCTCTTGCGCTCTCGCCGGTGGCGTGCCTCTACATCAACGTCTACGTTTGGGTTGTACGCATCGACATCTATCGGCTCCTCGCCTTCCGTGCTGCGAAAGCTTATGCCAGTAGACGCTGCTCGCCTCGGGTTTGATCGCCCATCCATGTCGAGCAGGGTGTATGCGGAGACTCTGCGTGACAGACAATGCCGGGCTGATCAAAACTCTTGCCTCTCTGACTTTTTGCAGCAGAAAGTGAGAAGGGATCGTGCAAACCTGAAAGGTCAAGGGCGTTCAGACCACTCAGTTCGATAGTTGGTGGCCTGCTAGGGTGTTCAAGCCTTCAGCGCGTCAGTCTCCATCGGCTGGCAATTTCCCGCAGCACAAACGCAGCGACGTAAACTGTAGAGACTGAGAAAGTGCAGGGAGAAGGAGCTGGATGACGAAGCAGGTCAAATGTTTGATATCTCGGGAGTTACACACCGTCTGTTCCGACTGCACATTTCCCATGGTTCTAACGCCTCACCGGCCTTCACGCAATTGCGATGTGGCGCTGGCACAAAAAAAAATACGGCACAGTGCCTTTCTAGAAAAACTATGCACGTGTACACGTGTGTGTATGCGATGCGAACAGAGGCGAGGCAAAAAAAGTTCTGTTTACCGACAACCTTTTTTGCTTTTACTTTACATAAAGTCACGAAAACGCGTGTTTTGGCAGAGTGTTTGCCAAGATAGGCATATCATAGGGCCATTGGCCATGAGGTGGCGAAAGCCATTTCGTCCAATAAGAACGCTCCGGACCGCCGCCGTCCATACTTGGACGGCTGGTATTGGGCGACGAATGTAGTCGGACCAAAAGGGAGAATTTTGTATGCGCACCATCGTAGATTTAACTATTAATTAGTAATCTACACTCGACGGAGGCGCGGTATCGCGCCCACCAGTCTCGGACTGGATGACATAAAGTTGTGTGACCGGGGGCAGCTCGCCCCCTCACACAGGAAAGGAACCAACTCTCGATCACGTTTATTGCTCACCTCGTTCATGGTAGCATCGCGGTGAGGAACGATCTCACTGCGCCCTTCAGACCACCACCGACCCGCGCTTCCCTCCTTCCTCCTTTACTCCACTCATCCTATCTGCGCATCCACCAACACTTCTCAACCACGCCTACGAACGCCACAGTAGACTACTGCGCCACCCTCGAACCTACAGTGCGCCCGCGGCCCCGGGATCGGGTGGCGCATCTCAGTTCTCTGAGTCAACTCATGGTGTCGGTCTACTACTCCTCGACAGCCTTTTTCGCTTCTTCCGCTCTACTTTCTCGCGCTGCATCTTACTGCACCGCACTGCTCTTCCCTACTTTCGTTCGTCCTACATTCTCAAGTACGTCTCAAGCTCAAGTAAATCAAGTTTGTAAATCTAGTCAAGTCTAGTCAAGTCCAGTCAAGTGTTTGTCGGTGGTGGGGTTACTTGTTGGGGTTTGACGTTGTGTGTGATTGCTGTGTTTTATTTGGTCTCTATTCGGGTTTTCTCGACCTATTGTCTAAGAGACTTTACTTCGGTGTCGATTGGGGTTCCCATTTTACAACTTTCAGTTGTTTTATTTGGGCTTCGGAGACTTCCTTTAACTTTTGCCAACACTGGCAAAGGTTGTCGACATTGATAATCACTGCGAACTTCGTCCGTCAATAATGGAGATCATTTTGCCCTCTTGCACCACTGCACAGTAATTGTTGACAACTTTGGTCAACAATATTCGGCTTGTGTGCGTGATCGTTGTGTTTTTCGTGGTGCTGATTTTCTCTCAAGTTTGATCTTCGCACCCCTCAATACACTCACTACGGTTCGCACTTCTGCACAACTTTCGATCAACTCTCCGTCATGTCAAGTAATGGTGAACCTGAGCAAAGTTCTAAAACTCAAAGTCCCGTCTGACTTCATCCAATGGCGCAGGAAGATGACGGCTTATCTTCAGCGCAACGATTCACTTCTAGTTGGACTGAAACCGAAGCCCACCGGCCGTGGTTCATCTTCGAGTGATGCAATCGAGGACTGGATGATGCGAGCTGCGCGTGCAAAAGGCAATATCATTCTTTGCCTTGGAGACGCCGTCGCGTCCCAAACACGCTTGTTTGTGGACGACGATGAAAAGACGGCCTCCGATCTGTGGAAAGAGCTTCAGCGTATCTTCACCATGTCAAACGCTCAAGCGGTGCAAAACATCAAACAAAAGTTGGACACCTTAATCTTCAAAGACAATGGTAACTGGGACAAGCATGTCGCTTCGTTTTTAACAACCATTGGGGAGCTAGCTAGGTATTATGCTGAGCTCTCTGAGTCGGAGAAAACTTCCAAGTTAATCCGCTCTTTGCCTTCCTCGTTTGCGCCTCTCGCCATGGTCTCTAGTCTACAGGACCTCAACTTCGACAAAATTTTCAATGCTGTGCAAACCGAGATTGCACGTCGAGGTAATCCTCACAACATGCAGCAGCCGAGTGACAATAACTCTTCTCAGCCTAAGGCCAACTTCGCGCAAAGAGGCGGTCGTGGTTCAAGAGGTAGAGGTCGAGGAAGAAGTTCCAGGGGTAGACGTGTTGGATAAAGAGGAACTTTCGGAGGGCGAGTCGACAAACGCACTTGTAACTACCGCAAACGTCCGGGTCACTTTTACAATGACTGTTGGGACCGACTAAGGGACGAGGGAGCAGGAAGTGGACAAGCGCCTCAAGGACGTCTTTCGTCCCGTCCCAATCGAAATGTGCACTTCGGCACACAACTTCCGGACGCTCTTCCTCCTCGTGGTACCATCCACAACAGTAGTGACCCTCCTACTCGCGGTTGGGGAGCTAGCAACAACCGCCGAAGCCAAGGAGGTCCTCGCCCCTCTACCCGCTTCGCTCAAGCGGACGACGAAGTCCCAAGAGGATTCATGGTGCAACTACAAAACAACGACTTCGACTTCCGAAGCCAAATTGCTGAAGTATCTACCACGAAGAGGTCCTGTGCGCACATTGACTCCGGTGCTACGCATCATTTCTTCAATTCTCGAAAATCGTTCATCAAATACTCACGTATTTCACAAGATGTAATGGCTGCATCTGGTGTGTCAAGACTAGTTGGCCAAGGAGAAGTGTCAATCCCTCTTGGCGGTGGCATAGTGATCGAAGCTTACCATGCCCCTCACTTCTCTTCCAACATTCTCTCAGTCGGGCTCTTAAGTTCTAACTTCATTGTTGCGTTTACCGACGACATCCGTCCGCACAACGCATTTTTCCTAATGGAGAAAGGAACTTGGACGATTTTGTGGGAAACTCAGAAGAAGAATGGATTGTACACTCTCGATATGAACAATTCAAAATCAAACATATCTTTGACAACAGCCGCCATGAACGTCAACAAGAGAATTCTTGTTGACGTAGAGTGGCATGGGAAGACTGGCCACCTTGGCATTAACCGCTACATCAAGCTTTCTCATGCAGTCGAATCTGTTCCGTTCTTTGAAAAGTCCATCCTTCAGCAACTCGATTGCGCCCCTTGCTTAAAAGGGAAATCTCATCGTGCTCCTTTATCTAAAAGTGTATTCATCACAAAACCGCCACTGGATTTGATTCACACTGACATTTCAGGTCCTGTGACTCCAAGTGTCGCTGGGAACTCCTACACACTTGCAATACTGGACGACTACAGCGGTAAGTCTGATTGTGGTAAATCACCAAGTGCCCACTAGTCTACATACTGTACTCGAACACCCGACAGTGTATGACAAGGACCGCATTGGTTAATTCCCAATTCGAAAGGTAATTACCTTATCGCCCGGTAAGTTGGGCAGCGCAAATCGCGTCCGTGTACGTACTGTACTCGAATCATACCGTCTAATGTATGATACCGGCGTACCTCGCTGGCGGCCAAGTGCAGGACCGTTACTGCCCGACGTGTGGTCGTACCGTTACAATCTGGCACTGTAAGAACGGGGACTACAGTAGTAGATATAATAAAGTAGGGAAGGGGAAGGACTCGAGGGAATGATCGATCAACACAGTGGCATCATCTCGAGGGCCGACCCCTTTGTCCCTTGGTTTTGTGCCTAAGTCTTTCGCCTGACTACGTTTTTGTCTTCCCTTTTTGTACATCGAGTACAACGAAAAGTACTCCACCGCAGGGGTAACGCACGACGAGCGCTCCGCATAGCGCCCGGATTCGTCCTCCGTGACGGCGTCGCCTCCGCACGTCGTCGAGTTACCACGTCGAGGACGTCGATCTGCCTTTCGTGGCATCGTTGTGTCGAACCCACACCGTTCTACCAAAATCTCTACCAACCAGCTACCGAACTCCCTTCTGTCTTGTTTTGTGGTTATTACTACACTTGTGCACGGCACTCGTCGCGTCTCGCACGCCTCGAACTACAGTACGACGTGTGGCAGCTCCCGCCACCCGAAGCCCGTCGAGCGCGGCACGTTCTACTACACTGGTCTCCCGACCTAGAAGTGTGAGCGCACGCTACGTTTTCTGCGCAAAGCAATATCGTTGGCAACCGTCGCCTCGTCGATATGAGTTCGCCTCATCGTTCCCTCGCCGGTTCCGAAGCGGCGGAACCGTCCGCTCCGATCCCACCGCCGGTTGAACCGAGCGGAGTCGTTGAACATGCTTCCGACTTTCGCCCAACTCAAGGTGCTCCCGACATGGATTCGTACGAGAGGATGCTTCGAAACCTCGAGGATATACGGGAAGCGCTCCGTAGCGACGTCTATGATGATGTCTATGAGCATTGCCGAGACAATTTCCGTGACCAAATGTTGGGTCGATACCAATCTTTCACGCAAGGACTTGAGAGCCTCCGAACTCACGTCGATACGATCGAATCTCGACTCGTCCTTTGCTAGAGCCTTATGCCCGATAGGTCAACTGACCTGACCGCAGAGCAGATGGGCGCGTTCTCGCGCCTAGCCGCTCAAGTGAATAAGCAACGAAGCCGCGCGAATCGGCTGCGAGAGAGAGGATCGGATATATCCTCAACGTCCGCGAACGCTCGCGACGTGTCTCGACCGAGTCCTGTTTTGTTGCGCCCTTTTGACCCTCTTCCTACAGGTTCCGATCGTCTGGAACCGAGTCGGCTTCGTCGTGAAGCTCACGCTCGTGATGCACGGGCCACAGGCCCTCCGTTTGT